CTGTGCCAGGAAAACTATTTGTTTTCCTGGCACTGGAGTGTCCCTTTAAGTCATCTGAAATAATTAAAGCTTAGAAAACTCTTGTTCCACTCAAAAATAAAAGCATAAAGACCTTATGCTTCCATCTTTTTCTTCCCCTCGGGCCAAATTACTCACACAACCTTCAGTATTTCCTTAGATTAGGTTTTTAACTCTATTACTCAAAAGAGCACATGTGAGACATTGCAAGACAGCTGAACAAAAGAAGCAGAACTCCTAAATATAGGGGATTGCTTCTAAGGCCCCTATAAAACAATCAGTGATAAAAACAAACAAAGGTATAGGGTGTGTCAATAAAAATAGTGTATATATCCAAATTATGAAAACAATATACAGGAAACAAATATAGCCAAAGTTCATAAGCAAAAATAAGATGGGATACCAGGTATCCAGACACAGTTCAGGACACAGTTCAAAACTAGCAGTCCTTTTAGCAACAGATATCTGTTTGGTGCTCTTAGATTGGACTTTAATTTGATGGAGCCTATACCAGCTCTAGATAAAACAACATTCAGGGGATTATACTCCCCACTTGTAGGATATCCCTAATAAAATGAGCAGACAGACCGCTCTATGTATCAAACATGGGTAGTATGATCCCCACCTGGGATTCTTTGGACGGTGGTCTGCAGATATCTCACTTGATGAAACCAAAAACCAGGTGTAAAACAAAAATCATATAAGCTCAGTTTTAGACTTTCACCCATGCTTGATACATGGAGTGGACTTTCTGATCATTTTATTAGGGGTATCCTACAAATGGGGGTTTGCTGTTTGCTGTTGTATTTGTTATTTGCTCTTTGAGTGAAATAATTGTTTGGCGGAATGGAACACAGCAAAAAGATATTTTGCTGATTGAACTGGTTTTGTGGTACAATAACCTCTCATCATAAATCAATTCTATACTATCCTATGGAGCATGTCCTTTTTATTAAGTGTTTTTTTTTGGTTTTTTTTAACGATAGCACAATCTTGTTTTGCAACTAAATTCTACTGTTTAGTCAATTTGAAGCTTTGTTTGAGCTTTAGAGTGTTCAGCTGGAAACAATTAACTATTCAAATCTAATGTGGAGCAGTAAATCCAGTTTAAGATCTTTGCTGGATGATACCTCTATCTAAAGGAACTAATGATTATATGCTGTACTGGGGATTATTGACTTTTTGGAATGCCTCGTTAAATATATTTCTATTATAACATTTTCATATTTATCTTTATATGTTGACAATACTAACAATATTAATTGAGCAAACAGTGTCCCATTTGTTTAAGGAATAATTTGTTTTGTATTTTCAAATCATATACTTTTCAGATGATTTAAACAAAATCGTTCTGAAACAAAATAAAAAAAGAATCACTGCGCAGTTTCACGTTGTTAACATGATTGGAGGGTGAAACAAAATAAGATGCCTAAAGAGAAACTATTACCTTTGAAATTTCGCACAAAAAAAGCTAAAAAAAACCTCCATGTGAGGGTCTCAAGGCATATGATGAAAATCCCATGATGACATGGAGTGGTCCTTTAAACACGCATGAATGCTAATGTCATCAGAGAAAGAATGTCAGGTGTCTGTGCCCACATATCATTATGACAGGAGAATACATGAATGCACACATGCACAGATTAGCACACAATGATGTAGGAGCCAATACCTGGTAGAGCCATAGAGATAAGGGCTTTATTCTTACTACTCTTAACACTTCAATGCAATAAAAGCTTTAATTGTGCTTAGTGTGATGAGTGTCAATGTGCTGTCAACAGCATAAAAATGACAGCTCCTCTTTAAGGAAAACAAACCCATACAGATATTATGAATGCTCATTTTATTTATGAGAATTTTTTTTTTTTTTAATTAGAATTTTCATTTAAAAAAAAAATTATTATATTAAAATGCCAAACAACCAGCTTGTTAGAAAACCACACTTTGTAGATGGTTATCAAATGTATGCATATCAATCTTTACTTTTTCTAGAAATTGAGCTTTCTGTGATCTTTAGCATGAAGTGATGTGTCGCAAATTAAAGGGTATTTGCCATATGACTCATCCCTTTGCAAAGGACACATTAACTGTAAATACCAAACAACATTTTATCATTAGCTCTGATGATATTAACTAGAATAGATGAGTGAGCAATACAGTTATGATGTAAATCCAATGTGGTTCAGTTGAGGATAGTCAACTTTTAGCATACAGGTCAGCTTTAGTGTTGTGATACCTGGTATGCGAGTCCAATCATACAGAGTTTATGAGATTACTGGAGCCATGCACTAAAAATGTGCACAAAAAGCAAACAATTAATAGCTACTTTTTGGGTGGGTTTCACTGTAGGTAGTTTATTAATCAAATAGCAGATTATCCGTCATTTTCATAACTGCATGAATCTATTCACACATCAGATCTATTCTAATGCATTGGCTCACATTAAAAATCTGTGGCAATGTGTGTTTTTAACATGCTATTTCTTGGAAATGTTATCTAATATGCAGTTTTATGCTCAATTTATTTAGCACACTGCACCCTTCAAACAAACACACATACACAAACACACACACACACACACACACACTTCACTCCTGGCACACACATACACACACTGCACCCCTCACATACACTCCACCCCACATACACACACTGCACTCCACACAAAGCACTGTTCACACACACACACACACTACACCCCTCACACAAACTGCACCTCTAATACACACTCTGCACCCCCCCACACACACACACTGCACCCCTGACACACACACGAAGCATTCTTCGCACACACACACACACACACACACACACACACACAGTACCACTCATACTACATCCCTTGTACACACACACTTGATCTCATACATACAAAACTCTGGATCCTCTACACACACACGCGTACATAAACACATTAGAACTGCTATACACATAGTGAATCTTCTACACAGACACACAAAAACACACAAAAACACACACTAGATCCTAGATCTCCTGTACACACTCTGGGACCTCCACGCACACAATAGGTCCCACACCTTCACAATAGATACCCTATAGGCACACACTGCACCACCTACACACTACATTCCTGACACACACTAGATCCCTTGTAAGCAAACACACTACATCATTGTGTCCCAACCCAGTCCTCAAGGCACACCTACCAGTCCAGGATTTAGTGATTACAGGGTGTGTCTAAGGTGTTTTTACAAAGAAGAAAAAAAACACCTTAGACACAACTGGGTAATCCCTAAATCCTGGACTGGTAGGTGTGCCTTGAGGACTGGGTTGGGAAACACTGCACTACATTACCTAAGCACACACTTTACAACCATACACACACACACACACACACATAACATCACCTATACACACATACACAAATACACTACAGCACCTATACACACACACATACACTACAGCACCTATACACACATACACTACAGCCCCTATGCACACACTCACTACATGCCATATACACACGATACCTACTATTTACACACACTCCCTCACTCTCTACAGCCCCTATCCACACATATTACACCACAAACACAACATAACTGAAACCCACTTATTTAGACAAAACAGCACACAACACAACACCGCAAACACCTCACTCTCCATAAGCAGGCTCCAAATGCATGCTCAACATGCTTACCTGATCCTTTTGTCCCCTGGTATACCACATATGGAGACACTCGAAACAAGTCAGAAGCAACACAGCGCAAGCATGTTAATAAATTTGCTTGCGATGCACAGAACAAATACAGGGCCTTTTCCCTTACATGATCTCTTCAGCAAGGCTCTGTGCATGTGTTGCTCTGGAACATAAATTAACTTTGAGAGGGAAATGTGCTTGTCATTGGTGATTACAAAACACCCCCTCTCTGGCCCGGCCCCCTTCTGATTGGACCGTTGTGATTCAAAAATTTCCAGGCCAACGCATCACTAACCCCTTTGTAGCGGCAACCATGCGGGTCTGGCACAGGCAAGGCAAAAAACACTACCTGACGACAGATCCAGGCCCGCTGTTGCCACTAAGAGGCAACCAAGACTTCCCAGCAGGCGACCTTGGCCCCACACCGGGCCCAGCAGGACACCCAACAATTCCTCGCATGACAGACGTCCTTGTGCACCCCTTCGGCATTCGGCCGTTAACAGAACTCTTCCCGGACAAACCACTCACTTTCTCACACACGCTGGCGAGAGCGCAAATCTCCCAATATGCCTGATCCATCCCGCAAAAACCATCCCTACTGAGGGAAACTACACAATTCGAAAACCTGTGCACGCGAACCACAGAAACACCCCGAGCCATCTCACAGATATACACAATATTGGTCACTAGTAGGTACATATTGGCACCGCCCTGCATAATGAACTGGGAAGAAGACCTAGACGAGACCATGTCGGAAGCGGACTGGGACAAGTGCATCACCCTAATACAAAAAACACCCAGCTCAGCACGCCTGCAAGAAAACTCTTACAAGATACTCACCAGATGGTATCTGACACCGACAGCGCTCCACGTCAGGAACCCAGATATACCAGACACATGCTGGAGATGCGGGGAGGAAACAGGCACGTTTCTACATATCTGGTGGGCATGTGCACGGCTCCAGCCCTTCTGGGACACAATTAGAGATATAATATACGAAGTAACAGACGAGACGCTCCCGGGGTCCCCAGCCGCCTTTCTCCTCCATCACACCAACATGACCGCGCAGACATACATCAGATCAGTAATACCGCGGTTGCTGAATGCAGCCAAAACAATCATCCCCATCTACTGGAAGCAGGTGAACGCACCTCCGATAACACAATGGCTGGAAGAGGTGGAAACCACCAGGAAATTCGAAGATATAAAGGCAAACACTCCGAAACTTAGGGACCGATACACCAAACGCTGGTTTCACTGGATACGATTAACCGCATCAAATGACTTTCAACGCCGCCTGGTCACACAGTAACCAGAAAGGATGAGACAAGGAAGGCTGCGATTGGGGACTGGGCGGGGGGCGAGGGAGGTGGCGGCGGCGGCAGGGGACGGAAACACTCATAACCCCCCAACACCCTCTCCCACCCCCCCCAGTCACACCCATGAACACACCTCGAAGGACAGACACAGTAGCAAAACGAAACCGAAAGACCTTAACAAGACACCCCCACACGACGAGACTGACTGGTGGCAATACCAGAATGAAGCAACCCTACACAGCGTCACAAGAAACTCAACCCTCAATAGACCCATAGACAGCCAAGACACAGAGTGGGGCAACACCGCAGACAGCACAGAAGGAAAAACACACATGGGAGACACAGAACCAAAAGTAGGCCACGCCACATGCACACACACCTAACCGAAGCCCTTAAAACCAGACACAACGGGGAACACCCATCAGAACACGTACAGTGACAAACGTAGGGCACAACTAGACGCACACGACCATGGAACACCAAACTAAACAAAGCAACAGATATTCAGACGCACAGATAGCTTGCAAGCACAGGCACCAGAGCAAAACAGAACAAGATTAAGCAGAAACACTCAAAACAATATTCACAGGTGAAACGGTAATATAGTTACAGTGCAAGCCATACAGATGTAAAATGTGAGTAACTAATTATGCATATATCTGCTGTATTATGCATGCAATGACCAACCAGCCTCTGTGTAGGTGACGGAACGCAAACAAATGTATGCAATGCAACCTTGCGCCCCTGCGTGGGCAACCTTTACTTCACTACTCACAAAGATGCTACCTGCACATGTGTTATGACAACAATAAAAAAATTAAAAACAAACCCACTAACACAAAGCAACTACATGAACCAGCCAACACAAGACAACTACACAACCATATTCATCCACTTCTTTTAGTATATCAATTCACTAAGATGCATATTAGCAGACTATAAGCCACTAATCGACACTAACACAGCTACACACATATGACAACAATACTAACACACAGCATTATCAAACTTGTTTAACGAAATTGATATATCTAATTCTGCAAAACTTATGTACTCTTAAATTTTGTCATGACAAGGTTACTTTGATTTATTCATGTACCGAAAACAGCGCCTCTGCGTAGGCAATTATCCGCTTAACCACAAATACGTTTGCAATGGAATTTATGTTATGAACCAATAAACATATTCAAAACAAAAATGTCCAGGACCAATTTTTTTCCCCGTCCAACCTGCACTAAACTGAGTTTTGATGATTTAAGTGCAAATTTAAAAAGATGGAACACTCATTATTGCAAAAAAATGCAGCTGGCTAGCTCATGCTCTTATACATATTTTAGCACTTTGTATGTTGTTAAAAAAAAATACACTACTGTTTTTTTAACCCCTTAATGTCATAGCTTTAGAAGTAAAAATCCAGCATGAGGGAAAATTTCCATCATGCATCCTTAAAGGGTTAAAAAATTTTTTTAACTTACTGGTGTTTTGAACTAAATGATGGCTATGAGTTATGCAAGTTAAAGAAAAAAAGCATTAAAAAATGAGAATGTCATTGTGGGAGGAGATACCTGGCCTATAAATACACAGACCTCCCCTTCCTTTGGGCTGAGACTGTCTGGTTCAGTACAGAACCATCTACTCCCGGTTCAAAGGTCATAAACACAAACTGCCTAAACTCCAAACAAGCTGGTCTTGGACTTGTGTGGCCTACGCAAGTATTAATTTTGCCTCACTCTAGAAAAAAACAGCTGCCTCTCTCAAAGGTCATCGGGCACTGCTGCGTCTGGCCAAGCTGCGGCTTTTCCTGTTGCTGTCTGGGCATTTATTACAACAAAGCCGTACGTTTGTTCATTCAGCTCGCATTTGGCCACACTGTCCCTGACATTCAACATGTATTTGTCCCATGTTCAGCCTTTTATTAACTAGGAAGGAATTCCCAGTTCAGTTCATATTCTGTCCTTATTCGAATATGGCGATTTTCACTACTAATGCAAATTTTTCCTATTTTAATCATACACAGCATCATGGTGATACCTTAATAAGCTTTGTGCATTCTGTTTACCGTATTTGGCCCACATTAGGCCATATCAATTTCATCATATGCAATTAATTTAGTCACCCTGCATTTTAATGTTTAATTAATGCTATGCCATATAGTTAGTTTTTCATATTTGCAGATTATTATTGTCGGCCCTTACGGCCTTGGTTATACTTGTCATATTTGAGCAGATCAGCATGTGTAACTTATGTTCACCAGGCCTCTTGCAGCTTCAGTACCTATATGTATTCTATATGTCTGCCATCTGGGTATTCAGGCACTCATTGGGCCTACATTGTTTAATAATTATATGTTATGTTATTATTTATATAGCGCCAACAAATTCCGCAGCGCTTTACAGTGGGTGGACGAACAGACATGTAGTTGTAACTAGATAACTTGGACACACAGGAACAGAGGGGTTGAGGTCCCTGCTCAATGAGCTTACATGCTACAGGGAGTGCAGTAAAGTGACACAAAAGGTAAGGATACTATTAGACTAATGACAGTTGGAAGAGAGGAATCAGTCGGGAGCTATTAACAGTTTAATTGATACGGTTTTAAGAAGAAGTGGGTTTTTAATGATTTTTTAAAGGAGTCGAGACTGGGTGAGCATCTAACGGAGGAGGGAAGTGAGTTCTACAGGAAAGGTGCAGCCCTGGAGAAGTCTTGAAGGCGAGCATCAGAAGTGGGAGTACAGAAAGAAGATAGACTAAGTCTTCAGCAGAGCGTAAGGGCCTAGATGGGACATACTTGTGTCTTAGTGAGGATAGATAGGTCGGAGCAGCATTATGTAGAGATTTGAAAGCAAGAACCAGAATTTTAAATTGAGCCCTATATCTTACAGGAAGCCAATGGAGGGACTGACAGAAGGGTGAGGTGTGGGAGGTGTGGGCAGACAGGAAAATTAGCCTACCTGCCACAGTCATTATGGACTGTAACGGCGCAAGTTGGAAGCACGTAAGACCACTGAAAAGCGGATTACAGTAGTCAAGGCGAGAAAGGACAATGGAATGGACCAGCACCTTAGTCGCATCTGGCATTAAGTAGGGTCAGATGCGTGCAATGTTTTTGAGATGGAAACAACAGGATTTGGAGATAGACTGAACATGAGGCATGAAGGAGAGGCCAGAGTCAAAGAGAACACCTAGGCAGCGAGCCTGTGTGGTGCTGTTGCTGATGGTAGCACCGTAGACTTGGAGGGAGACAAACACATGAGTAGCAACACTTGAGGGAGGAAAGACTAGAATTTCAGTTTTGGTCAAGTTGAGTTTAAGGAAGTGGGCAGCCATCCAGTTAGAAATAGGAGTGAGGCAGTCAGAGACACTAGTCAAGAGGGACAGGGAGAGATCAGGAAAGGAAAGGTAGATTTGCATGTCATCCGCATAGAAATGATATTGGAAGCCAAAGGAGCTAATGAGTTTACCAAGGGAGGCAGTGTAGATAGAGAACAGTAGGATAGAGTAGTGACCGAGATTTTGCAGCAAGTAGATCATTGGATCGAGGAAGTCTGTCAATCTTGCATACACAACTCTTTCAAGGATCTTGGATGCAAAAGGCAATAGCGAGATAGGACGGTAGTTGGATGTGGAGTTAGGGTCAAGGTTGGGCTTCTTTAGAATTGGGGTTATAGTTGCATGTTTGAAGGGCGATGGAAATATGCCAGAGGAGAGAGAGAGTTTGAGAATTTTAGTTAGAGGTGGAGAAAGAGAAGAAGACAGAGTACGGATGAGGTGCGACGGAATTGGATCTAAGGAGCAGGTGGTGGGGCGGGAGGACTGGAGCAGAGCAGAAACCTCTTCAGGTGAAAATGAACATAGAACAGCAGAGGGAGTGAGGTTAGGGAAAGCATTGTAAATGGAAGAAAAAAGATGAGAGATCTCTTCCCTGATTGTAGAGATTTTGTCAGTGAAGTGAGTTGCAAAGTCTGAGGCGGTCAAGTTAGTAGGTGGAGGAGGAACAATAAGGCGAAGAAGAGTCTTAAATGTGTGAAATAGTCATTTGTGTTCGTGGGAGAGTGTGGTTATGAGGGTATTGAAGTAATTTACTTTTGCAGAGAAAAGAACCAAGCTGTATGAGTGCAGCATAAATTTAAAGTGGAGAAAGTCAGACGCACAGTGAGACTTTCTCCAATATCGTTCAACAGTTCTGGAGAATTTTTGGGAGGTATTGAATCAGCTTGGTGTGCCAAGTTTATTGTTGGGGGTGCCTGTTGCGTTTAAATGTAGGAGGTGCCATGATGTCTAGTTGAGAGGAGAGGGTGGAATTGTAGAAGGAGGTTGCAGAACTAGGATAGGTGAGGTTTGAGATAAGTAAAAGGAGAGTTTGAAGATTAGTGGAGAAATGCTCAAGGTCAAGACATTGGAGGTTTCTGTGAGATTGATGTTCAGACGGTGGTGTCAATTGGGTCTTAGGTATGCTGATGTCAAAAGTCAGCAGATGGTGGTAAAATAGAGGAATAGGAATATTGGAAAGATTAGAGTCGGTACAGAGAGTTTGGTGAAGGCGAGATTAAGAGTGTTCCCCCTACATAGGGTCACTTGGCAGATATGGATTGACACCTGTCCTCAGAGATCATGATACACACTGACACAGAGCAGAATAGAGACTGTTCCTCCTACATAGGGTCACTTGGCAGATATGGATTGACACCTGTCCTCAGAGTCCCTGATACACACTGACACAGAGTAGAATAGAGACTGTTCCTCCTACATAGGGTCACTTGGCAGATATGGATTGACACCTGTCCTCAGAGATCATGATACACATTGACACAGAGCAGAATAGAGACTGTTCCTCCTACATAGGGTCACTTGGCAGATATGGATTGACACCTGTCCTCAGAGCCCCTGATACACACTGACACAGAGCAGAATAGAGACTGTTCCTCCTACACAGGGTCACTTGGCAGATATGGATTGACACCTGTCCTCAGAGAACATGATACACACTGACACAGAGCAGAATAGAGACTGTTCCTCCTACATAGGGTCACTTGGCAGATATGGATTGACACCCGTCCTCAGAGACCATGATACACACTGACACAGAGCAGAATAGAGACTGTTCTCCTACATAGGGTCACTTGGCAGATATGGATTGACACCTGTCCTCAGAGATCATGATACACACCGACACAGAGCAGAATAGAGACTGTTCCTCCTACATAGGGTCACTTGGCAGATATGGATTGACACCTGTCCTCAGAGCCCCTGATACACACTGACACAGAGCAGAATAGAGACTGTTCCCCCTACATAGGGTCACTTGAAAGATATGGATTGACACCTGTCCTCAGAGCCCCTGATACACACTGAC